GCCCGCTGCAACAAATTCAGGCACTTAACTTAAAACATACATCTTTCCTGCAGAATTGCATTTACTCACATGCACGTTTCATCAACTAAGCCCCATTCAAAATGGATAAATTCTATTTAAACAAGTTATTTTTATTTGGACTCCTAGCTCATACAAAACAAAGACCCCCACATAGCCTTCATTTGTGCCAGGGCAGAGTCCCTGCATCTGTTTATATTATGCCAGAACTCCATAATAAAGATTACACAACACATCATTAATGAAATACACTGCTACAGGATGTAGAGGTAGTGAGGAACTTAGATGGCTTTCAACAAGGATTAGACAATGGCTCTTAAGCCACAACTGTTTGTTCCCATATAGCATTCCCAGGAGTTATGCATTACCTTTGGGCTTTGCAGCTTCCTGGAGCCATTTACCTGACTTCTTTTGGGACACATGAACTAAATAACTTTTTAGAATCCTTATTTCAGCAGATTTATGTTCCACTTTTTGACTAAGTTCTCAAGTTTCAACTCACAAAAGTCTCTCCCTTATTCCCCAAGAGGGATTTCTCGCCATATTTTGTATTAACATGACAAAGGGCCTGTCATCCCTGTACTAAACGACTAAAGTCAATCAAAGTTGTACCACCAACTCTGATTCATCAAAGTATTTCTGTATCACGATGTCTTAAAACACCAGAACCTTCAAACACAAAACACCTATTACAAAGCACATGATCTACCCCCCAAATACATGTAATTAAGAGGCAGCAGCTCCTTAAAGCAAAGGCCGGGTAAATCCACCCCCTCACTTTTAGCAACACTGCACTTCAAACCCACGAAATCGTCTGGAGATGCAGCTCTTTCGACAATCGGGAAGAGTCAGCGTTTCATTTTTTTTCCACTTTCATTTTCTTTTCTGGTGAAGGGAAAAGCACTTTATATAAATAATAAAGCAACCGAACGATTAAAATATGACGATGGCGAAGTCCATGGGGGGTGGGATAGCGGGTTGCCAACAGAGAGCAGCCTGGCGTGCTCCTGTGCTTTTGAAGGGTTGCCAACTTACGGCATCTTGGCCTTGCTCCTATTACCTCGGGGAGGTGTTTTTTTGGGGGGGGCGGGGGCGGGAAATGGGATTTTCACCCGCCCGCAAAAAGGCCTGAAGATGCTTTGCTTTACCTGTCCCAGTTGTCGTCCCAATAGCCGCAGTTGGGCTTCTCCAGCCAGCCAGGCGCCGTGGCGGGGCAGGAGGCGGCGTTGGCCGGCGAAGACAGAAGCAGCAGCCCCGGCGGGGGAGCCGCGGACGGAGGCAGGGGAACCGGGGCGTCGCCGGAGCTTTTCCCCACCACCTGCTGCTGCTGCTGCTTCCCGAGAGGCACCGCAGAGAAGAAGACAGAGCCGCCCGCCAACCCGCAAGCGGCGGCCGCGGCCACCGCAACGACCCGCCTGAACGCCATGGAAGGAATGAGGGGGAGGGAAGGCAGGCAGGCGACGAAGAAGAAAGCGCGCGAGGAAGCGGCGAGGAAAAGGGGCGCCCGAGCCTAAATAAGCGGCGAAGGAAAGGCGGACTGAGGGAGAGGGAGGAGCAGGAGGAAAGGCAGCAGCCGGCAGCCGGCGTCACACGCCCCCTTCACAGCGCCGCCCTGCCGAGGCGGGCAAGGCAGGCAGGCAGGCAAGCTGACTCCCGCCCTCGACGGCGCCCGGCGTGGGACAAGATTGCTCCGTCCCTGAGGAGAAAAGCGTTTCTGAAGGAAACTGGTGAGGAGGGGAGGGGGAGGGGGAGGGGGCGCCAAGCTCCACGCGCACGCGCTCTTTACCTCCCTTGTTTTTGCGCGTTTCTTTTTTTCATTCTGTTATATTACTCGTTCTCCAGTCTTTTTTATTTTATTTTAATCGAACAAAGGGAACGAAACAAACGCCTCGCCTGGCGTACATGATGTGCTCATACAAAATGAAGATGGGGTGGACGGGGTGGGGTGGGGAGAGATCGTAAATACCCGTTTTACCTGAATATACACTTTGGAAAAGCAAAAGAAAAAAAATAAAACACTACCCCCCAACGAATCTAATTGTGAGGAAAAGACTAGGGGTGGTGGGGAACCGAAGTCAGGAAAATACTAGTTGTTGAAATTAAATATTTCTTTTATACGCCGCCTTTTCCCCCGGACGGGACTCGAGGCAGCTGGCAGATAAAAATAACAACTGTTCAAAAACAAAAGTTAGCGTTCAGCTACTTCCCGAAGAATTTATACCAGCGTGTTTGCTTGCTTTGTTATTTGCATCGGCTCTTTTCCCCTCCTAACAGGAGTTTTCTGGGCGACATTTCTCAAGCTTAGGTCTAAAGCAATCAAAACACACTTAACGTATCCACGCCATGCGTTTCAAATGCATGCAATGCACACACAACATGAAGAATATTTGGGAACTGTAGTTTCTCCCTCACAGCTGCAACGCGTAGCATTCCTAAGTACAGTTCACAGGTTCTTTGAGAGAAATCCTCTGCTTTAAATGTGTGTCACAGAAAATTATGTGCACTGAATGTGATTTAAATGCTTCGTGTGGATCTGCATGGTTAGTGCAAAACTAATATAAAAAATCACACACAAAAAAGCAAAAAACCTCAATCAATTCCTCTCTCTTGGCTTTATCAGCACTATACATTTAAGGCAGTATCATACCACTTTAAATTGTCATGGCTTCCCCCAAAGACTTGGGAACTGTAGTTTCTTAAAGGTGCTGCGAGTTGTTGAGAAACCCCTATTCCCCTTAAGAGGGTGATGACCACAGCATTTACTCAACAATCCACAGGCCTAAAAAAGGTTTCCGTGCCTTATTTGGGTTTTAAAGGTTGACTCCAGTAACGCTAAGACAATTGTGTTGACAATCACTGCTGCTATGAAAAGTATTTCAATTGTAGGGTCACAGACTGTACTTCTAACAGTTCATTGCCAATTAACTCCATCCTCACCTGCCATGTTTATACAATATCACACATAGCCCCAAAATATTATTTCCAAGGTAGGTGAAAGGGCATTAAAACAATTAATATTAAATGTAAGCAAGTGTAAAGTAATGCACATTGGGGCAAAATAATCTGAACTTCACATCTTGGAATTTTCATAGCTGAATGCAAACGCTGACCCAATGTGCAGCTGTAGTGTTTTTTTAAAAAAAGATAAATTCTGTGGTAGGGATCAAAAGTGATTGATAATAAGACTGTCCATATCATAATGTCCTTACACAAAGTGTGACTGCTCTTGGAATACAATATTTGTTAGCAGGGACGCGGACTTATAAAAAATATTGGGGGGGCCCGGGAAAGCTCATGAATAATAAATAAGCTCATGAATATGCAAATAAAGTGGCGCCACCTCCTCGTGAGCGAATAGGGGAGAGCGTGCTGCGCCTATTAATCAGCTCCAAAGGAAATTGGGTGGAGCTTTTGCTCGGGAGGGAGGGCAGGAGGCATGCAGCCCGCCCCTCCCTGTGCATTTTGGGCTGTGGGAGGGGCGGCGATGGCGCTCTGCTGGAGGGGCGCCGGAGATTATTGGGGGGGCGGAGCCCCCCCAAACGAATTTTTGAGGGGGCTCGGGCCCCCTCAAGCCCCATGGAGTCGGCGCCTATGTTTGTTAGACTTGTAGAAATTGGTTGATCCATAATCTGTTAAACTTAGGTCCACCATCTGTTGTTGCTACTACACCACATTTCGACCAGTGTGATCAGTGGAGCATGCACAGCTCCAGCAGAGTTTTCCAGCATAACATCAGAGTTTTCCTGGGCTGGCTCAACACTGATCTGTAAAAATGCTTTAAAAACAACAATGTAATATACAGTGGCTCTCAAAGCAATTTCCCATTGTCGAAGGTTTGTTGCTCTACAGCGCCCTCTGGTGTCACCTTTTTATAACACATGTTTAACGCTATAACCAACCAGTGTAGATTCGCCCTTGCTTTCCAGTAGTCAATCTTTTATGGAGTTATTGGTTAAAGAAACTCCTTGCCTGCTCAGTTCATTTCAAAGTATGAAGTGTTTAAGAAAAGCTTAAAACACACTAGCAACATAAACTTTAAGATATGCTGGTACATCATGAACTAATCTCCTATAGCACAGTTCTTCTGGTTTTAGCAAGGGCGCCAGCTCTTGGGGGCCAAGCCCTTTTGAGCCCCCTCAATGTTTTTAGGGTGGGGGCCAGCCCTCCCCTGACTCTTCCGACATCACGTGCATGTCATAGCCCCCACCACCACCATTGCCTTCACAAACTGGCGCCTCTGGGTTTTAGAAATACAGTGGTACCTCGGGTTACATACGCTTCAGGTTACATACGCTTCAGGTTACAGACTCCGCTAACCCAGAAATAGTGCTTCAGGTTAAGAACTTTGCTTCAGGATGAGAACAGAAATGGTGCTTCGACGGCGCGGCAGCAGCAGGAGGCCCCATTAGCTAAAGTAGTGCTTCAGTTTAAGAACAGTTTCAGGTTAAGAACGGACCTCCAGAAGGAATTAAGTTTTTAACCCGAGGTACCACTGTAAAGCTTGTAAATGTACTAGTTTACAGAGATCCACTAGCACTTTACCATACCAGCTCACAATTCTCTACCATATAGCATGTTACCTTTACCTTCACTGCTGATGCCTTGCACAAAGCAAATACCTTGCTCTCAGTTAATACCTCACACTCCTGCCGATGATATTGCACATACACAGATTGCTTAAAGAAAGGGTGCGTGAATGAGTCATGCTTTAGGCATTAACCTTCAACTGTTTCTAACCACCCCATTGCAACTGGGTCTTTCTCTAAGCAGAATCCAGACGTGGGGGTACAGGGGTGGGCTGCTTAAGACATGCTCTAAGCACCTGATGCAATTTCACCTATTTCCCCAAATTACACCAACAGTACTGTGCTCAGTTCTGGTCACTGATGTAACATTTGTGCTTTTCAGTGGTAGAGGTGCATAACATTAAGCAAGAAAGTGGTTAGAAAGAAATTTCTCTCTTTATTTTATAATAGTAGAAACCGGGGTCTCCAACGAAGCTGAATGGTGGAAGATTCAGGGCAGGTGAAAGGACACGTAGTTAGTTCAGCTATGGAACTCCCTGCCACAGGATGCTATGATGCTCATCAAGTTAGATGGCTTTAAAAGAAGACTATGTTCCGCTTCCACTGTCATAGAGTCCCAACTGCCTGGAATTAAAAGTGGGGAGAGTGCTGTTGCGCTCAGGTCCTACTTGCGAGTTTCCCATAAGCCCCTGGTTCGCCACTGTGAGAATTGCAGGCAGGACTAGAGAAATATCTCTTTGGTCTGATCCAGCCAGCTGTCAACGGAGTCTGTGCAGTTCATGTCATATACAGTTTAGCCACCAGGTGGCGCCGGACTTAAAGGTTAATGCCAGCACTTTGAATTGAGTCCAGAAATAAACAGGAAGTCAGTGCAGATGGCAAAAGACTGATGGATCTTCCAGTCTCGGTTAGCAATCTTACTACCCTGCTTTGGACCAGTCTCAAGTCTCCAGATTGTTTTCACAAGCAACTCCAGGTAATCCAACTGGGAGATTTTACGAGAGCATGGATACACTGTGTCATTTGTTATATTGATTTTAATGGATTACTGTTCCTACCTATTATGAATTACTGATTTTATATTGCAAACTGTTTTGTGAATGAGCATTGCAAAATGGCATGTGAATGCTGTGCATTCCATTCAATATTTTCTCAACGGCATTGAATTGTATGCGTGTAATAAAGAGAACTGAAGAGCTTGCGGTTATTTTCAGTTCCTCTTTTCTTCCTTTTGCGGCAAGAGCTACAGTTGCTTGTGAAACCCACAAAAAGTAAGAAAAACAGCTGTAAGGGTGGCCCTTGGGTAATTATGGTCTCTCTGCATTTATTTATCAGTGAATTTATATACCCAGTGCTTTTTTCTGGGGGAACACAGGGGTACGCATACCCCTAAACATTTTGTGAATCTTTGTACTTTTGTCCATTTATTGTATTTATTTTCCCCGATTTGACCTATAAAAAGGTGATCTTCTTGCGTCAAAATGAGAGTACCCCTAAACTTTTTTTTAGAAAAAAGCACTGTATATATATACCAACTATTACAAATCTGTCTCAATGGATCGTAGAAGTTAAAATGATAAAATAGTAAAATTGTAATAATATAATTGCATTTATTTGTTGCATTTATATCCCACCCTCTTCTCCAAGGAGCTCAATGTGGCATACATTGTTTTCCACCATCTCATTTAATCACCACTACTACAACAACCCTGTGAGGTAGGTGTTAAGTTGTGGGTGAAGATATCAGACGACACAGCGATTCTTCAAACAGCTCTTGTTTATTCACAGGCCAGAACAGAACTGAACTGAAGGGTTCAGCCAGCCTGCTTATATAGAGCTCCACTACAATGCAACAGTAACCACTTTCTTTAACTATCCAATCACTGAACGTCACTTTCAATCCCTTATTTGCCGATGTGGACCTGAGTGAAAACTACAGTATCCCCCTGCTGGCCCAGGGTGAAAACTTCAGTACATAACAGTAGGTTAGGCTGAAAGGCAGTGACTGGCCCAAGGTCACCCAGTGAGCTTCATAGCCAAGTGGGGACTTGAATCCTGGTGTACCAGTTCCTAGTTTGACACTCTAACCACTATATCATAAATAAAATGGAACTGGCAACCCAAGATTGCCATTAATTTCTGACACTAAACACCAGAAAAGTCTAGACTACACAGGTAAGGTTTTGGCTGAATAGTGGAATTAGATTAAATTATTATGATTGGCCGATGGGTCCTGTTGACTGCATATACACCAAGCTTCCTCAGCCTCGGCCCTCCAGATGTTTTGAGACTACAATTCCCATCATCCCTGACCACTGGTCCTGCTAGCTAGGGATCATGGGAGTTGTAGGCCAAAAACATCGGGAGGGCCGAGGTTGAGGAAGCCTGATATACACCATACATTTAAAGGAAATTTCCTCCCACTCCCCCCAGAAAAATCCTGAGAACTATAACTTACTCGTGACAGAGCGACAGTTCCAAAGCACCTGCAACAAACTACACTTCTCAAGGGCTCTTTGCGGGTTTGTGATTTGAATCTGTGGTGTGTGTGCAGTCAACAAGCTCTAATAATAATAATAATAATAATTTTATTATTTATACCCCACCTATCTGACTGGGTTTCCCCAGCCACTTTGTCAGCCAATCATAAATCATTTCAGCAAATCCCAATATTCAGGTGCCATTGGTGCCGTTGCTCGTGAAGCCAAAACAGCACCACCCACGCACAAGAGGGAGATACAGTGGTACCTCGGGATGCGAATGGGATCCATTCCGGAGCCCCATTCACTTCCTGAATAGAACGTAAGACGCAATGGTGCGTCTGCGTGAGTTGCGTTTTGACACTTCCGCACATGCGTGTGACATCATTTTGAGCGTCTGCGCATGCGTGAGCGGCGAAACCCGGAAGTAACGTGCTCCGTTACTTCTGGGTTGCCACGGAGCGCAACCTAAAAGCGCTCAGCCTGAAGCACATTCAACCTGAGGTATGACTGTACCAGCAGCCTTGGCAGAAGGCCTCAGGTTTGCAGAAGTGCTCTATGGAAGGATAAGAGAGGTTGACAACCCAAGAACAGCCCAATGAGGACTCAGTGAGAACAGACCACAGACTTACTCTAGAGCAGGTGTGGTGGGGAGTAGAAAGGATCAAGAATCAGTAGCCTTAGTGGAATAACCTGAACAGGAGTGCTCTGCACTGCAACATTTTGCTGCAGTACTTGTGAAAGAACAAATAGTATATTACAGGTGTGATGATAACATGTCACATCACACCATACATTTAAAGCACTCTTATACAATCTCGCTTCCCCCAATGAATATTGGGAACTGTAGTTTTTTTTAAGGATGCAGATAGATGTCATGGGAAATATTAACAAATAAAGTTCCCAGGGTACCTTTGGGGAAGCCTTGATATAAGATAGCTTTAAATATATGGTGCAGATGTGGCCGACTCTCTCTCCCCACCCCTGCATTTCTGAGTGTGGCTTGTTCCACCTTTCTGCCACTCTCTTTCTTGTTGTTCTTTTTTTCTATCTTTGCTGGATTTGGGACTCAAGAATATGATATCGGATACCCAGAGAGGGTGGTTGCTGCTGCAGGCTCTCTTGTTTGGTATTCTAATGTCAACCTTCCTTAAATGAAGAATGTGAAACAAAACACAGGGTTTGGAGAGGGAGCCTGTACCAGAGTTGATGACAAGACACTGATGATGCAAGAGGAGTGGTTTTCTAAAATCAAACCATTTCGTAGACCTTCTTCATTCAGGAGTGTTGCCTTGGATTAAAAAGCAGTACAGTGGTACGTCGGGTTACATACGCTTCAGGTTACATACGCTTCAGGTTACAGACTCCGCTAACCCAGAAATATTACCTCAGGTTAAGAACTTTGCTTCAGGATGAGAACAGAAATCGTGCTCCGGAGGCCCAGCAGCAGCGGGAGGCCCCATTAGCTAAAGTGGTGCTTCAGGTTAAGAACAGTTTCAGGTTAAGAATGGACCTCCGGAACGAATTAAGTACTTAACCCGAGGTACCACTGTATATAAATAAACCATAACAGGAGGCTAGCTTAATTCAGCTGAAATTATAGAATTCCTTTCGCTTGCTTCTTTTAAAAAACAACAGTGACCCCTAGAGGTTTGATATTTAACAGCCACATAAACAATTTTAATTTACTGTGGCGTAAACTCCCGTGGATTTGAGGCCACTTCAAGTAAGCCTACTTGAAGTGGCCTCTAATCCACGGGAGTTTAGGCCACAATAAATGTAAATTTATGATGTGACTGTTAAATATCAAACCCCCGTACACACACCCAAAAAGCTTGGTTTGAGTAAGTTGCCATTTTCTGCAGCATATATATGCATAGCCAGTGCTTTTTTTCCTGGGGGGATACATACCCCTAAATATTTTGTGAATCTAAGTTTGGCCTCATTGAGGGGCAGTATTTCAATATGAGTAGGAAAATGAGAGTATTCCTAAACATTAGTTTTAGGGGGAAAAGCACTGTGTATTGCAAACAGGAGAGGGAAAACATTCAGAAGGACTTTTTGCTGTGTGAAATCTGCTACCTCCAATTTATCTGAAAGAGAGGCTCATTCCCCTTCATATTTATAGGGAGCAAGGGGTGCAGTCTGTTTGTTGCTACGGCAAACGACTGGTTGGTACTTAGCCAAATTTTGCTTCCTGTTGCATCACAGTGGGCTTTGAGGTGTTAAGAGGAGTTCGGAAAGGTGGGGCAAGGACATAATAAGGCTTGCTGAGTCCAATAGTGCTTACTCCCAGGTAAGCATGCATGAGACTGAAGCTGTGGCGCATGAGCCTGTTCCATTAGATGTACAGTGGTACCTCGGGTTAAGTACTTCTTTCCGGAGGTCCGTTCTTAACCTGAAACTGTTCTTAACCTGAAGCACCACTTTAGCTAATGGGGCCTCCTGCTGCTGCCGCACCGCTGGAGACCTATTTCTGTTCTCATCCTGAAGCAAAGTTCTTAACCTGAAGCACTATTTCTGGGTTAGCGGAGTCTGTAACCTGAAGCGTATGTAACCTGAAGCATATGTAACCTGAGGTACCACTGTATTATCTTTATGCCACAAAGCATCTTACAAAATTTAAAAATTGTAAAACATGTGCTCAAAAGCCTTGTTGACTTTTATTGCATCACACTGCATTGCATCCATATTCCAGATTTTCTCCACACAACAACCCTGTAAAATAGATTAGGCTGAGGGACTGTAACTGCCTCAAGGTCACCCAGTGAGTGTTATGGCTGAGAGCAGACTTGAACCCTTGTCCCCCAGGCCCTAGTCCACTACACTTCAGTGGGGCTTACTCATGTAAGCACTGTGGCATAACCCAGAACAGATCTATTTAGCAAGATGTTCAACTGAACTCAATAGGATGTGCTCACAATTACCGTAAGTTGCATTGTAATGCAGCCGGTGGGGGACGAGGATGCAAGACTCCTTTGCAAATACGAGGACCAGATGCTGTGATTAAGAACACGTAGGTTTAACAGTTGTGTAGGAGAGGGGATTTTAGAAGTTGCAGCTTCTGTATTTTAGCGCTGCAGGGGTGAAAAGAGACACACCTGCTCAAATTCTTGCTTATGGACAGTTGGCTGATATGGACCAGACCAAAGTCCTGTCTATTCCAGCTTGGAATACATAATAGGTTTTGTTGTTGTCATATTGTATTTTCTCAATTAATGGAGCCTAAAATGACAACAAACAGCATGTGGGGTGTCTGCAACATTTTTTGAAGATAAAAAGGGGAATCGTAATTGTAAAGATTGGGAACTGCTGTCCTGAATCATAAACTCCAGTAAGTGTTTCAACAAAACCGCTTGATTGCTATTCTTAGCAGTGTATGCAGTGTGTCCGTTGTGAGATTCTCTAGTGCAGTCTCCTTCTTCTTTGGGTGTCCAAACTTTTTTCAAAGAGGGCCAGATTTGATGAAGTGAACATGCATGAGGGCCGACCAAAGTTGTTGACCTTCTTTTAAGATTGAAGTTGTTGTTGACCTTTTTTTTTATTTTTAGGATTTTACCCCAAAGTTGTTGACTTTTTTTTAGAACCCAGGGAAGGAACTGCCTGTGGGGGCTGGATTAAACCGACTGGCGGGCCGGATTAGGCCCCTGGGCTGGACTTTAGACATGCTGTATTGCATGGATTCTCAGAATGTGGTCCATTGAGAGTTTCATGAAGATTGTTGGCATCCATCTGTCTCAGGAGACAATGAAAAAGTGCACCTTTTCAGGTAAAATCAAACTGTTGGAGCATTACAGCACCTGCTGTGACTGTAGAGAGGGATACAGGAGAGACATATTTTATTTCAGGTGAGGCAGTTGAACGCACCCGCTTCTTTGCTGCTACAGGTGCACCAAGAAGTTTATTCTCTCTGCGCTCCTCCCAGCGGTCCATAGTAAATATCTGTGACTTTGCAGTTGAAGACCAGAAACAGTACAGTGGTACCTCGGGTTAAGTACTTAATTCATTCTGGAGGTCCGTTCTTAACCTGAAACTGTTCTTAACTTGAAGCACCACTTTAGCTAATGGGGCCTCCTGCTGCCGCCGCGCCGCTGGAGCAAGATTTCTCTTCTCATCCTGAAGCAAAGTTCTTAACCCGAGGTACTATTTCTGGGTTAGAGGAGTCTGTAACCTGAAGCGTATGTAACCCAAAGAAGGTACCACTGTACATGACATTGCATTAAATAGGCATCTTGATTTTTAATTGTCCGTCTTACTGTTTCTTTTATTGAATTTCAATTTGAATACCGTGGAGTTCAAATTGTAATACAATTAAATGCAATATATAAGAAATAATAAAGCAACAGAAGGTTAATTAAATGACCCTACAGCATCTTGCTGTAAGTGTTACATTGCTACAGTCGGCTGAACAATCATTAAGGGGCCCACCGTAAACCTCAGTAATTTTAAAGTGGTCCATGCGAAAGGAAGTTGGGGGACACCGATTTGCCACATGCTTCTGCTTGTGTGTCATTCCATACTTAATTCTAGGGGGTAGACGCTGGTGGCCATATTGTGGTGGCGCCTGTGTTTAGGAGGGCCCCCCTGAAAGGTTTTGAACAGCTGGTCTGAGATGGTATTTGATGGCAAGAGCCAGAATGATGAAGTAGCAAGTGTTAAGACTAGAACCTGAGGCCCCATCATAAATTTTGCTGCATGACTTTGGGGGCAGTCGCCCTCTGAACCTAGTCTGCCTCATAGGGCTGTCGTCAGAATATAAGGAAGGAAGGGTAAAAGTGTGGGTGGCACTGTGGTCTAAACCACTGAGCCTCTTCGGCTTGCCGATCAGAAGGTTGGTGGTTTGGATCCCCACGATGGGGTGAGCTCCCGTTGCTCTATCCCAGCTCCTGCCAACCTAGCAGTTCGAAAGCACGCCAGTGCAAGTAGATAAATAGGTACCGCTGCAGCGGGAAGGTAAACGGTGTTTCCGTGTGCTCTGGTTTCCGTCACGGTGTCCCGTTTGTGCCAGAAGTGGCTTAGTCATGCTGGCCACATGAGCCGGAAAGCTGTCTGTGGACAAACACCGGCTCTCTCGGCCTGAAAGCGAGATGAGCGCCACAACCCCATGATCACCTTTTGACTGGACTTAACCATCCAGCGGTCCTTTAGAGAACCAGGTACGCCCCAAGCACTTTGGAGGACGAATGGGGGTTGTCCACACGGGAGCAAAATGCGGACTGCCCTGCCATTGTTGTCACTGAACTTTCTTGCTTAAAATGGAGGTTGTTGGTGGTTGTTGTTTTTAAAAATCATTTTTTAGAATCAAAAACCCCAGCATTTAAAAGGGCGAAAGTCCAGGACAACACTAGGATGGGAAGAACATAATACAGACCCCCAGCATTAAAGAGACAAGATGCCGCAAATGCTTCCTTGTGGGCAAGCCGAAAGATAGATAGTGTAAAACTACAGTATACCTTTATCAGGGGACTTCCTGATTATATGATTGTGTAATCCTTTATGTACTTTTGCTTTCCCATACCACAGGTATGAATGCCAACCAAATCCGACAGCGCAATAAATGTGTATGAAACATATCACAAGATGGCAGAGCTCTGCCCCAGAGAGTTTACAATCTAGAATTTGGTGCAGCGAGGACATAACAAAGAGGAGGGAAGGAGAAGGTAACAGAGAATACGTTTATTTTTCGTAGGTGATATGGGGTCTGCAGGGTTGTGCTTAAAGCTGCCTTAAGTGACTTGTATGCCCAAATTATATTGCATATTTATGGAAATTAAAAGCTTTAAAAGGTTTTTTTTGGAGTTTCAGAAAATCTCAGGCCACACATAAAAGCTTTGAATCATAGGATAAAGAATCCGGGGTGTTTTTTTTTTAATCACTCCAGTGCAAGGACAATCTAATCCCCAGCCTTCTCAAGCTACTCCTGTTTTATATGTAATCAGATACAGTGAGTGCCTGAGAGCACCCTCCCCACTCTCAAAAGAGCTGTTCAGCTTGTCTGGACTGCTTTAAAACGTTGAAACAGATTGGGGGGTGCTGGCGAGAGATAATTTCCAGACACAAACTCATTTGAGCCTTTTATAGCTGGTTCTCTTCCAATTGTAAAGGATTTAGATTGTACAAATGCTGATATTTCAATATGAATGGCAAGCGAGTCTGTTTCATAGAATCAGACAGTACATAATTGGAGTCCTCGTTAAAAATAGATCTGTCAGACGTGTGAAATCATTTTCACTAATAGCAATTTTTAAGTCCTTGTCCAATTTTTTTTTTAAATTAAAAAACTGACATTGATTGGCATTCCGCTGAGTGACACCATATTGTGTTTTAAACAAATGTCTTGTCTGAGGGAAAATAATTCCAAAGTTTCATGTGTATATATTTTGGAATGTACAAAAAGGGCAGCGTTCAATTTGGATGAACATGTTGCCATTTTCCAGCATTTTCCCCACGGAGAATTTTTACCACCATCTTAAATCCATGACAGTCCTAATGGTGGCAGTACTGTCTAAAGGTTGGAGCCATGGCTGACACTGTTTCCCAGTGTCAGGCCAAGGTCCAGCAACATCTGGGGGCAACTCTCAACAGCCACAGTTAGCTTGACCAATGAGCAGGGGTGATGGGAATTGCAGTTCAACATCTCCCTGCCTCCTTGCTTCCAACCAGACTAAGCGGTGACATATAGCCTGTCAGCTGCCTTCTCCTCCAGCTCATTGCTGCCCCCTCCAGAACTCAGCAGGGATGAGGATGGGCACAAAACTAGAATGAGTTGGCTGTGCCTGTCGTTGCCTCTGGCGCCACCTGCTGTTGGGCTCCCTGCTTTCCACCCTACCAGTCCTAATGAACACAGACCACCAGTGGAAATAAAAGGGTGTGTTGCCTGTTATGTACTGAGTTGAATAGGATCCAAAATGCAGCAGTCTGATTGGTCCTAGAACAATAGGATTCAGAATGCAGTCTGATTGGTCCACAGGAGCCACCCAATCCAGCTCCAGGTGTAAGAGAATCTGCAACCTGATTGGCCTACAGGAGAATCCCGGAATTAGCCAATCACGTGGGGCCCATTGTGTAAATAATGTATATAAAGCAGACATTCTGGGGGAACTTCCATTCCTCCTCACCACTATGAGCTGAATAAAGAGCATAAAATCCACTCTTGACTCCGAGTATATTTCATTGCCATTGAGGACTGATCATGCTCCGTGGGGATGGAAAGCCGACTGTGGCAGGCCGGGGGAGGGAAACCAGAGGGAAGGCCGAATGGAGTGGGGAGACTGGGAGGCTGGACAAAAAAACACTCCACATTGCAACGATCCCTAACTCCTATTTGTTTTGGTGCAGGAACACACACACTGACGCCAAAGCTCTGTCTTATCAATTGTGTGCCTCTTCCTTGGCTATTAATCGGGACTTGGTGTGCAGCTGCGGTTGTGCTACTCCTACGCCCAGCGGTTGCTCCACCCCATCCCATTATCTTCTTGACGGCCGTGCAGGGCCATCTCTCACACAGATGCTAACAATAGCACCAAAGTGTGTCCGCAGGGATTAGCATAAGGGTGTGCGTGTTTAATGCAGCTTCCAGACAGAGGCTTTCTTTCCACGTCTTCTCATTTTGATGCTTTTACTTTTTGGTGCTCCGGTTTCCCTGTGCTCTCCCCAATAGCAGTGGGAGTGGGGGGGTCCACAATGATGGTGTGGAGAACCTTTGACTCTCCAGATGTTGCCGAACTATAACTCCCATCCTCTCAGCCAATCAGGCACGCTTGCCAGGTGGCCACTGGAAGCGAAAGTTCGGAAGGCAAAGAGCCCGATAGTTGACCCAACACAGAGAGAGCCAGAGGCAGCCGATTTTTGTCTTGTCCCCATTATGCCGAGTTCTGCAAGGGAAACAGTTAAGACTGAGGAGGAGCAAGCTGACAGCCAGTTTGGACAGATTGTAAGTAAGAAGGCAGGTAGCTGGGGGGTGGCTGAAGACCAACTGAGTTTGGTGGGGCTGTGCCCCATTTGTTCTAATGGACTAGCAATGGCAGTTGTTTAGCAACATCTGGAGGGCCAATGGTTCCCCACACAGGGAGCGAATGGAAATACAGTCATACCTCAAGTTGAATGTGCTTTGGGTTGAGTGTGTTCGAGTTGCGCTCCGCAGCAACCCGGAAGTAACGGAGCACGTTACTTCCGGGTTTCACCACTCATGAATGCGCGGAAGCGGCGAAATGTGACCCACAGACGCGCCGTCACGTCTTGCGTTCTGTTCAGGATGCGAACGGGGCTTTGGAACTGATCCCGTTCGCATCCTGAGGTACCACTGTAGGGCAGCAGAGGCAGACAGTGGTACCTCGAGTTACATACGCTTCAGGTTACAGACTCCGCTAACCCAGAAATATTACCTTGGATTAAGACCTTTGCTTCATGATGAGAACAGAAATCGTGCTCCGGCGGTGTGGCGGCAGCAGGAGGCTCCATTAGCTAAAGTGGTGCTTCAGGTTAAGAACAGTTTCAGGTTAAGAACAGACCTCCAGAACAAATTAAGTTCTTAACCCGTGGTACCACTATAGTAGCACAATCATTTCTACTACACTGGGCACCAAGCCTAGGGGCTGACGCAGGGCATTACAACTATGGCACAGTGAATTTAGCTGAACAGAAGGCGAACGGTGGGTGGTGCTGCCAAATTTTGGGCATGCACAGGGCGCTGCTGAAAAGTTAAAGACTAAAGTCTTCTCCTGATGGCAGGATGCTCAAGGCCAATGTTTCCCCTCCGACACAGGGAGAACAATGGGGATGGACGCTGTGACATGATGGAGGGGTTGCGACCAACCCGAGTATCCCACCCTTCTTAAACATGTGAAGGCTGTGTTCTCAGCCATGTATAGGAGCCACTCACCCATTATGTGCCTGGCCTCCCCAGGCCCTTGATTTATTTGGTTTACTTGGTAGGCTTAATCTATTCTGGTGGCTGTGTGTGCAAATTTCATCTACTTCTGCCAAAAGGCGGGAGGGAATTACAGACATTTTTAATACATTTCCCATAAGAAGAAATGGTGTTTCATTTTTAACGAAGTTGCTACAGACCTGACACATGAGTCAATTAGGACAGACCACAGAATGTCTCAGAACAGACTGGGCTTCTTCCTGAAGTGTTGAGATATCTGAACCAAATGTTATAAGGCCAGGGCAGATCCATAAATTATAGTGATTATTTCTAATTCGTGCATATATTGGCACAGGGAGATTTTACGCAAATATGGACCCTCTTTTCTTCTTTTTGCAGGGCGTGTGTTTTGTTGGTGACACTATAGTGCGCAGTCAAGAGCCATTACTAGACACAGTACATAAAATACAAACATCATCCAGCATTGTGTACCCACAGAGGCCAGGCAGCTGCCCATAGGAAGCCCGCAAGATGGCCCTAGAAGCAAAAGCACTTTTCCTACTTGTGATTCCCAGATACTGGCCTTCAGAGCATACTTCCTCCAACACTGGAGCCAAAAGAGTGGAGAAGAGACAGTAATGGACTAACAAGATTGAACAGTGGTCTGATTCAGCATACAGCTCCTTATATCCCATACAAAATTGTGGTATGAGGTACTTTTGTGCCTCTTTCCCAGAACCCACTATGTCGATAAGTCAAAACAAAGTGCTTAAATGCTGCAATTTTACACACCCACCCCTCAAAAAAACAACCACATTAACTCAAGAAGCTGAAAAATATATACATATGTATTGAGAGCCACAGAAATTAGAATTACAGACGGAGGTCCACAAAGCCTGCACAGATACATTCCAAAAATTCAAGGTAGTAGAACAGGTGAAATACAGACTGTTAAAGAGATCCCAACGACAAGGTCCTCAAACCATGCACTTGGTAACAACATTGCCTCCAGTCTTCCAGTCAGTTTTGTCTTTATCTTTTAGGCTCTGGTGTAGATCACTCCAAACACTTTAGTGGCCACCATTTTGGTCAGGGATGAAGAACCTGGAACTCCTCCAGTTGCTGTTGGGCTCTAGCTCCCATGAACCTCAGTTGGCCATGGCCAATAGCATGGAATGATCGCAGCCGTAGTCCATCATCATCTGGGAGAGCCACAGTTTCCCCATTCCTGATTTAGGGTCTCCTACAGGCATGTAGTCCTCACTTGGGAGAGGCTCCCTTGTAGTCCCAATAATACAATAAACCTGGGCAAATATTTACACAATCCTGGGTTTGCCTTCTTCAGCAAGCCAACTTTGCTGCTGCATATCGGATTTTCAACATTAAAGCATACATCTGCATAGTTTTCATGTGTGCATGTATGTGTGGTTGTTGGGTTTTTTTTTACAGTTGAGGTTATCTACCGAAAGATTAATTCATTTCACTTATATATATATTTATATATATATATACAAAATAATAAAGGCCTTGGGAATCTCTTTGATACCTCTGAAAACACAGTTGAAAACTTGTCAGCCATTCCCATGAAAAATATATATCCGAAAGGAATGTTCTCTGTTCTCCCATCCTTAACATTGCAAGAGCCCTTTTCTTTGTCATCATCAACTAGATTTTTTTTTTTAAAAAAAAGCATATCAGGGTAAATTCTGGTTTTCAACCCAAGCAGAAACATAGTACATGGAGTGTCTCTCATAAACTGTTCTCCGTTGCTAATTCAGACAAAGAAGTAAAATATTAAGGCTTCAAGTTAAAAAAAAAATCAAAAAATCAAAAGTAATCTCTCTCTCTCTTTCACTCTCTCCCTGCAAATATAAAACCCACATAATGCCAGAAATCTCAGCATCTTTTATTGTGAATTCAAGCTACAATACTGCAGTTTGCCCAACTCAGTGAAATGACAGTGATGGGAGGAGACGGATGGCATACCCCAAAATCTGTAATGCAAAACTATTGCTGTTTCTTCAGTAAGATGGAGACTTCAATGCAAAAGCTGAATTGTACGGACCACATTTAAGAACGTAATAAGATTCCTGCTGGATCAGACCAAAGGCCTACCTGGTCCAACATGCTGTTCTCATAGTGACAACCTGACGCACCTGTAAGCCTGTAAGCAGGACCTGAGTGCAGCATACAGTCTCACCTCCAGTCCTGGAGGTAGTACATAGCCTCATGACTCCTGGCCACTGATAGCCTCCCTGTCCACATTGATGGTAACTGAGACATCTTGCGATTGCATTTTCCATTATCACACCGTCCGAAACATTTCCTTTCGTCTGTCCTGCATCTCCCACCAAAGATTTGCTTGAAAGGGTGTTTGAAGGACAGGCTTTGAGAAAACTAAGATTTACCTGCACTCAATCATTTATTGTCAGCTTATTCTGCCTTGATCATAATAAAGGATCCATGTCTGGTGTAGAACACCAGAATGAGGGGAACGCAAGTTACATCTTTGGCACAGTGGCATAGCGTGGGGGGTGCAGGGGGGGCCGGCCGCACCGGGCGCAACATCTGGGGTTAGGGCAAATCCACAGGTTAGGGGGCGCAAATCCACGGGTTAGGGGGCGCAAATTACTTGCCTTGCCCCGGGTGCTGACAACCCACGCTACGCCACTGCTTTGGCATGTTGTGTTATGGCCCCCATAGGTGACTCCATCTAATTTAACCAACCGGAATAAATGACTGTGTAATCCCATAAATATCTAGTCGCAAGCGAGCCCCACCAAGTTCAATGGGACTTGACTCCCATATTATAGGATTGTAGCTTCATTCTCACATCGGCCTTTGTTTTACCCAATCAGGAGCTGGAAAAACACACTTGATTGGATGCCTGTGTCCCCCGATAGTTAAAAGAGTTAGCCAAGATCCAATGGGGTGTATGTGAAATCAGAGCATATGCCCTAAGTCTTATAATAATGGGATACCATTTGCTTTGGGACGTGGGTCTAAACCACAGAGCCTAGGGCTTGCTGGTCGGAAGGTCGGCGGTTCGAATCCCCGCAACAGGGTGAGCTCCCGTTGCTTGGTCCCTGCTCCTGCCAACCTAGCAGTTCAAAAGCATGTCAAAGTGCAAGTAGATAAATAGGTACCGCTCCGGCGGGAAGGTAAACCGTGTTTCCCTGCGCTGCTCTCGTTCACCAGAAGTGGCTTAGTCATGCTGGCCACATGACCTGGAAGCTGTACGCCGGCTCCCTTGGCCAATAAAGCAAGATGAGCGCCGCAACCCCAGAGTCAGTCATGACTGGACCTAATGGTCAGGGGTCCTTTACCTTTACCCTTTGCTTCAGCAATCGCCAGGTAAATGGGTAACTAAAAGGAGGAGAAGCAATTCCCTCCATTTTCTCTTGCTCTGCCCTTCCCCAAAATCCCCCTGCTTACAGTTGATGCTGAATAGGCTCTTTTCAATGGAGAACGGGGTATTTCAGGGCTCACCCCACTGCCAAGGAAACAGCCCTCTTGCTCCAGTGATGTTTGTGACCCAAGTTTTATAAGCATGTGCAGAACCATAAGAGATCCAAAGCTTAAGTGCTGATCCAAAGGTATCTATTTAAATCTATTACTGATTCGGGAAATTATCTTGTCTTTCCACAACCTTCCACCTTTTGTCTATTCCCTCCCCCACCTGCCACGGACACCCCTGCAATCCTGTTTGCCACCATAAATCTGCCCAATTCAGTGGCAAATTTAGCAAAACGGAAGGAATCTCTGGATTGACACCTGACAAGCTCGTCCTAACCCGTACGTGCACCAAAACCGTGCTGAACTCTCTGGGCCTTTCTTCTTAGCTGATGTATTTAGAATCACAGCATTAGACAGAAATAGGGCAGAACTGGGTGCCTCTGCCTTCTTTCAGGTTAATGCTAATCTGCAAATGCAGACTTCCAGGAAGATTTGAATAATTTACTGTCGTCTCTGGGCCATTCAGGCTATTTTAAATGCAAACTTCAAAGAAGAAGAAGGGGGGTGGAATCCGGGGCTATCATAAGCCTATTAATATGAAATGTATCTCCCCATCCCAGAGGAGTCTTGTGTCTGGATTTAACAAGCTACTGTTTGCAGCTTGTGTGTGCACGGATCCAGCATACATCTTAACCTAATGATATGTCTCCCCCAAATGCATTCAGTTTTCAACCTCTATCCCTACAGCTACTGCAGCTTGGCAATGAAAGCTTCAGAATCACCCAACCCCCACATAAAAATAGGGTTGTATCCAACTAAGTGCTACTCAGAGTAGACCTATTGAAGTTAATGCACCAAAATTAGTTATGTGCATCCGTTTCAATGGGTCTGATCTGCATGGGACTAGCATTAGATACTGTCCATAGTCTTACCCAGGGGTCAGCAAACTTTTCCAGCAGGGGGCCGGTCCACTGTCCCTCAGACCTTGTGGGGGCCCAGACTATATTATTTTGGGAGGGAAATGAACGAATTCCTATGCCCCACAAATAACCCAGAGATACGTTTTAAATAAAAGCACACATTCTACACATGTAAAAACACTAGGCAGGCCCCACAAATAACCCAGAGATGCATTTTAAATAAAAGGGCACATTCTACTCATGTAAAAACACACTGATTCCCGGACTGACAGTCCGCGGGCCGGATTTAGAAGGCGATTGGGCCAGATCCGGCCCCTGGGCCTTAGTTTGCCTACCCATGGTCTTAACTTTGAGCAGGTATTCTGAAGTCTCAACTGGGCAACACTGAAGTTAACCTTTACCAATCATCAATAGCTGATATTTCCCCCACAAAGTCAGGTAAGAACTGCTATCACTTGGCTGACATTTCAGTAAACTAGGCTGCCTCCTAAATCAGTTAAAAGGTGAAGTCAATACATAATAGATAAAGGCCTTTCAGCCGTTTGGGCTTCACAGCTTGAAAGGACACGTGTTCAATGCAGTGAATCAAAAACTGGCACCGCTGTCAGTCTCTCTGGGCACCAGCTGCCCCTTTTACATATTAAAAATAAGTCTTAAGAGCACCGCAATTAGCACCCACGTGCCTAAGTTATTTGCTGCCTTATTGTGTGTGCTTTTAAACATTAAGAAAAAAATCCAACAGGGGCTGCTGCTCTAGTTTGTTTGCATCTGTGGTTGAGGCAAGATCCCATCTTTGTGAGTTCCAATATGAACCAGTGTGAATGACGATGCTTGAAAGAATGGATTGTGCACATTCCCAGAGTAGACCCACTGAAATTAGTGGACATGGCTAACTTAGGTGCTTTCATTACAATGTGTCTACTCTGAGTAGAATTGAGTTGGACCTACAGAGCCTAGGACTTGCCGATCAGAAGGTCGGCGGTTCGAATCCCCGCGACGGGGTGAGCTCCCGTTGCTCGGTCCCTGCTCCTGCCAACCTAGCAGTTCGAAAGCACGTCAAAGTGCAAGTAGATAAATAGGTACCACTCCAGCAGGAAGGTAAATGGCATTTCCGTGTGCTGCTCTAGTTCGCCAGAAGCGGCTTAGTCATGCTGGCCACATGACCTGGAAGCTGTATGCTGGCTCCCTCGGCCAATAAAGCGAGATGAGTGCTGCAACCCCAGAGTCGGCCACGACTGGACCTAATGGTCAGGGGTCCCTTTACCTTTACCTAACCTAGTGTGTGGATTGGAACAAACAGGGGTGTTGTCACAGATGAGTTGACAAGGCCTCAAATCTCTTCCTATGTGCTCTGAGTGTTTCTGGGTTGGGTAATCGGGGGTGACCTTGGTTACTGAGTACATCATCCTCATCATTATTATTGGAGGATGATAAATTGATTTGAGATGGCTTTATCTAGAGATGATTTGGGGTTAATGAATGGAGGTGAGGGAAGGGGAATTGGGTGCAATGAGTGGGAATGAGTGGGAAATTAGCTAGCTTGTGACATTTATATTTTAAATTTGACTCTATTCATACAAATCAGGATATGCTAATTTTATGCATTTCTGTGTATTTGGGCCCATGTCCCAAATCTGTTAAGTACACAGCAACAACTCTGGGAACACAACTAGCCATTCATCTTTGCATTTTGCCAAATTTTGCAATGCAGCATTCAAGTTTTAGTTTTTAAAAAAATATCAAAATAGGAATGCATATTTTGATAGAAAATGTGTTCAAAAGATACATATTTAAATATGTACTTAAACGCAAACCTTTGAGCAGTGGTTTTTTAATTGACGATGAATGCAGAAACGGGGCACAGCAGAAGGGACTTGTGTGAACACGTATGGAAGTGAGATGGTCCAGAAACTGAATGATTTAGCTATCCCTAACCTACTGAAGCCAAAACCACAATAAATATTGTGGCACCTTAAATGCTAACACATGTATTAGGACACAGACTTTCATGACCCTGAGAACCCTCTTCATTGAATTCACAATGCATCTGATGAGATTAGTCTGCAAGCTCATAAACAGCTGCATTGTCCCAGTGAACTCAATGGGCTTGCAGGGGTCAGCAAACTTTTTAGCAGGGGGCCAGTCCACTGTCCCTCAGACCTTGTGGGGGGCCGGACTATATTCTGAAATGAAAAAAAATATGAACGAATTCTTATGCCCCACAAATAACCCAGAGATGCATTTTAAAGAAAAGGGCACATTCTACTCATGTAAAAACACGCTGATTCCCGGACCGTCTGCGGGCTGGATTGAGAAGGCTATTGGGCCAGATCAAGCCCCCGGGCCTTAGTTTGCCTACCAATGGGCTTGCTTCTCTTACTTCTGAGTAGGCATGCATAGGATTGCACAGTTATTTTAGGAACAGAACAGAATACAAACAATGAACAGATAACAAAAGCAGCTTACCGAAAACAAAACAGTAGAATAATACCTCCATCAAAACAACAATCAAAAGACAACAGTACTAAAACTCCAGGAAAAGACCGACACTATAATGAATTAAATTACTAAATGCTAATCACTAATTAAATTCTAGCTTGAATTAAAATATTTTACCATCCATCGAAAGGCACAGAGGGAGCCTAACAAATTTGGCCCAAAAGGAGTTTCTTCATTGTGGTGCCAGCACAGAAAAGGCTCTGTATCTCATGCCCTGCACTCCCTGCCAGATCTCACATGTGGACAATATTGTAGAGATTCAGGGTCTGTAAGGCTGATTACAAAGCCTGAGCAGATTCACACAAAAGCAGGTACTATAGCTTCTGAGATAATCCAGTCCTAAACCATTTAGGGTTTCAAAGGCCAATTATCACCACGTTAAATTGAGCCTGGAAACAAACAGATTACCAAAGCAGATGAAGTAAAATTGGAATTATATGCTCTAATAATCTCCAAGCACCAGTTAATCTTCTTTTGCAAGGCAGAAGTGGGCCTTGGGGCCATGAATGCTTCTAACACAATGTATTTGTCACAACATAAGGTGCCACAAGACTTTCCACTGTTGTTGCTGTAGGTGCAAAACTATCCCAGAGAATTGGGAAGGGAGAAATTTCTTGCTGATGTCATGGAAAGCCAGCCAATCAGCCTCAT